GGGCGCGAGCGGACCCCCGCCCGAGTGTCCCCGTAAAAGGGAGAAGTTGAATCATTTCCCAGAAATGTCACTGGGAGCGAGCGCGTGGGCGGGCACAGGACAGGGGGGCTTGATTTTCTCCCTCGTTCGAGCAGCGGTGACTGCAGCCGCGTGCAGAGACCAAAGTGTTTTCTGGTTCCCAGGTGTCGGCTGGAAGAATACCGAGAATCACGGCACCATTTACCGCCCCAGGCGGCGGTTATTTATGCTACCAGTGAATTAAAAAAAAAAAAAAAAGAAAAGAAAAGAAAAAACCAAAACTAATTTTCTACACTTAGCTCAGATCTCCTATCTGTATTTTAGGGGAAGGCGAAGGGCAGCCAGGCTGGTTCCCTTTATTGCCCTGTGGGCAGTTTTAAATTTCACCGGAGAAGGGGGTGGTAAGGGAAGAGAGAGTGGCAAAAATGCGATCTGAGGGAGGTCAACTGTATCCACTTAAGGGCTATTGAGCCACTTGTAACCAGAGCTGAGCCCAGCCTGGCTATCGGAATTTCTCTAGCCACATCTCTGACGAGGTGCAGAGCCTGAAAATACCTAAATCCCTATAGCACGGTGAAGTCCCCGCAGCCTAAAACCTGCCATAGGTACTGCTTCTCTCACAGCTTTCTCGGTAGTAATAAGAAAGAGAAGCTGGGGTAAGTTTGCTGAGGGGTTAAGAGGAAGAAGGTACTTTCTTCGCTCTTGCTGGGTAAAGCGTGGAAAGCCCCAGGGAGTTACTGCTCTGTGTTTCAAGTGATGCACTAAAAACCCCCCAAACCTTTCTGAGAAAGGATCTTTAAAATTATGAAAAACTTGTGCTTTAGTCTGATTCCCCAGTTCCTAAAAAGCTCCCCAACCTGCAGGTTGTTTTATACCATTTTAGGGCTGCAAAAGTAGTGAAGCGTAATGGAGCATCAGGCCCACGTTTCTCTCCGGACTCCCGAGTACACTTTCCTCATGCAAATACGTGAAAGGGAAAACAGATACTCTTAGCCTCAGCATGAGAAAATTGTGTTAATTTTAATAACTTACAGTGTAACTGTTATACCCTGGTGCAGTAGCTGTACTGATAGAACCAACATGCTGATAGGCACTGACCTGCAACCCAAAAATGTGTCTATTAAAATAAAATAATAATAATAAAAAAAGCCTTGGCTTACTTTAGTTAGAAGCTTGGCTGAAAAGCTGAGCCTTGGACTGTATGAGCTGGCTCTGGCTCTGCTGGTCCGCAGAAACACTGAATTCATTACTTGGCAAACCTTCATGGAGGGCACGCTGCCTCGAATCCCAGGGAGCACCGACGAATAAGAATGGATGCAAGCTAATTCAAACCCTTCTCCCATCTTTCAAATCAAGTTAGTGATTTCTCTCGTCTTTGTGGTTCCCAGCCAATTGTCATTGTCAGTGCATCCTATTGCCCCACAGAACAAACTGTTCTGGGAATACGCTTCATTCCTCCAGCAGCCTCTCAGCAATGCCAAAGAATGTAGCTCTTCTGGTTACAATTAAGAAATTCAACATACAAACGCTCCTCAAGTGCACCAGAACCTCCTTGTGACCTTCACGCAACCGAAAGAGCCAAAGCAATTTTTTGTTCTTTGGTTCCAATAAAGAGTGGAAGGGAGGGAAGGGAAGGGAAGGAAACCCCCCCGTTCCTCTGGAGAGGCACTGTGGTTTCAGGGGTCAGCTGCACAGAAACTGGCAGAGGGAAGTGCAGTTTCCAGGGCTGCATTCCCACAAGGAGCTCTGGGCTGCTGGGAGGATGCCAGCCCATGCTGGCAGAGCCGGCCAGCTGCGGCGTGCCTGCCGGGTGGGCAGGTTGGGTTCCCACCACAGCATGGCAGAAAGCGGGCTGGCAGGGCGAGTGCAGGCAGCGGCGGAGCCTGCCTACCTGCCTGCTGCCACGCTCTCCTGGAGACCTCCGGTCTCCAGAGCCACTGCTGAGCAGCTGGGTAGGGCTGCCTCAGCTCCATCCCTGCTGACTGTCTCTAGTTGAACTCTTTTGAGGCTTCTGCGTAGACACTTTGAGAGCAAACTCTGCCTTTTATCATGTTGCATCTCTTCCAGGACTGTGTCCAGGTGAGGCAGATTATGAAGATATTACAGAATAGCTCTATAGTATCTACTTATAGTGTCTATTTAAGCAAAAAATATTTTTCAATTCTGAGCATGAATGTATGAGACACTTATGAGCTTCCTTCTGCCCCCGCCTCTCTTCAGCCTCTGCATTTTCAGCCATAAGCTGGCTTTAAAACTCTTTCTCCTAAAACATAGGATGACACTGTTACCCAAGACGAGAAATACATTTGTGTTTTCCAGATGGCTGGAGATGGCGAAGGAATAGCATGGAAAGTCCTTGATGTGGAATCTCATTATCCAAAAGAACTTGGGGGGTCCCTGGAGCTCTCCAACGACACCTTCTTTTCACTGAGGATCAAAAATGCCACCAGCCGAAACAGTGGGACATATAAGTGCAGTTTGGGGGAACAGAGTGGAGAACGCAATCTGAGCAGCACAGTCACGTTAAAAGTAACAGGTACAGTATAGACTCTTGACTGTCCCATGCAGCATTTCACGAAGGTAACAGTATAAACACCATAACAATATAACACCTTGCTTTACATTTTAGGTTGCCCTGGAATAGAAGATGAAAAATTAAAGAAATACAAAGCCGAACTTTTCATGCTGACTTGCCTTGGGATTTTTTACTTGCTGCTCATCTTTTTTACCTGTGTAAGTAACTCCCTTTCTCATAAGCAAGCCAACAAAAAAAAACCCCACTCATTTTCTCTGCTAGCACGATCTTAACACAGCAGGTCAGAAGTTGGTGTTCATACTTAATTTACAATCAAATCCTTTAAATACTCACACAGTATTTTCAAAACCAAAGGAAACTCAGGTGCACAAGGAACACAGGAAGGAGTCCCAAAGAGATGAAACATTTAACTACACCCTGGTCTAACTCAAACTAGACAGTTATTTTCCTGCACCCTGCAGCCCGTTTCTGCTTCCAGTTACTCTGAGCGTAAGCTACTCCTCAGTTTAAGGGCGTACCATCAGCTCTTTGGGCTTGGTACTTGGAAGCCACATTGGCCTGAGATGGAAGCACAGGCCCCTGAGATCCCTTCCCCACCTATGGCATCGCTTTGTGTGGTGGCATGATGGACAAGTCCAAGTCCACCTATTTTTTTGCCTCAGTTTCCATACCTGTAAATTGATAATAACCCCTTTCAGATGGGAATTTTTGTGAAGCTCCATCTTTCTTGGTAAACAGACATTTTAAGATCCTTGGGAAAGGACCTCCTCGGGGCTTTTATCTGTACCCTTAATACTGGCAGGTAGTTCTGGGAAAGGTGGGGAGAGGAGGTGTTTGGGAAGCTCAGTTCTCAGAAGCAAAACTATGTCTTGTCTGCGGTAGTGGTGAAGTCACCCCCTCGTGCAGAAAAACTAGGAGGTCTGAGCCTCCTGGCTTAAAGGCAGCATGAGTCTCAGGTGTCGATACAGTGCAACACCAGCTGCATTTCTAATTAAAAACAAAACAAAACCCAGCATTTTGGGAGGTCAAATTTAAGTTTTGCTGCCTCTTTCATATTTCCCTTCTTGTTTTTCTCCTCAGCAGATGAATCATAACTGTTGATTGGAGAATATCTAATTAGCTGCAGCTAAATGTAGCTTTTCATGTATCTTCAGGGAGCAATTAAATTTATGCCTGTCTCCTTTTTAGATTGACAATCCTGCCAGTAATTTGTGCCATTCAGACTAAAGTTTGACAAGATAAATCTTGTAGGAATTTGTTAGGATGAAAGTATGAAAGCAAGAATATCACTCAGAAGAGACTGTTCTTCTCAGTGTCCTTAAAGAATTTCAGAGCTCTACAGAGACCTCTCCTTCCCATACATAAAAAAAAGTCCCAGTTTTAGTGGTTTAGTTTAAAAAAAAGCAGAGCCATGTAGTGAAGATAAGCACTCTGGTGGAATTACGTGTATCTTACTTTTGAGTGAGGTCCAGTCTCAAGTATCAACCTAGCTTTCATCAAAACTTAATATTGCCCTGATCTCACAAGTGAGACTCATTATTTAAAATGCCTATTAAGCTCTTACAGGTTGCTTTGTCTTCTCCTTTAGTGGAGGTTGTGCCTTATCTCCACTAAACTCAACAGCGACATTAAGACTGGTTGACAGTACTTCAACAACTTGATAAAAATATTGCAGGCACGGGCCTGTATTGAAGGTAGATGGAAACACACTTGCAAGAGCTTGGTGCAAGGCCTGTTCATATGAAAACTTGAATTAAATATAAATTTCTTCTTGTGACTAGGGCTTTTGTCCTATAAAGCTCCTTGATTGAGTAAGGAACAGCAGCTTTTCTTTGTACTGGGTGCTTCTGGTAACAAATGGAAAAAGTGTAATGTGCAGTTAGCAAGGAGAAAAAGCAACACTTTCAAACTTTAAAAAAAAATTGCTTTTCATAGGAACCCTCAGTTTTAAGTTTTCCTCTCTGTTTTCTGTTTTAGACATGTCTAAGAAAAGAGAGTGTATCTCCCAATTATCAAAAAAACAGACCAGATATAAAGCAAATGCTCACCCTCATCAATGTACACGAAATTACAGCTTTCCAGGATTTAAAAAGCAACAGCACTTGCAAAAATGGGCTTACTTCAAGTTCTGTCTAAATTGATGTTGCCACACCATGGGCTCACTCGTAAGCACGACACAAGCTGGATGGCCAAGTGGTACGGAGAGGAAATAAATCGTAATATATGGCCTCTTCAGAACAGCCTGAAAGTTTAGGTAACCTGTCGGTGATCTGCTTGCTCTGGACAAGCCTTCGAAAAGCACTGTTATGCACTACAGTAACCTGGGAAGTTAGGCAGCTAAGAAACACCGTTACAGCTACACATCGGTGTTACGATGCTGTTATGAAGTTGGTGTCAACTTTGTTTCACTCTGCCATGCAGCCCTCTTGTTCTGAGCAAGAACGCTCCTGTGATATGAAGGCCAGGTTATAAGGAGGCTGTGGCAGCGCAAAGCCAGGTAATTAAGCTCTTCACTGAACTAATAAATCTCATCTTTCAAAAGCAAACGCAAAAGGTGCTGCAGGATGAAAAGCTAAGTGTGCAGGGCTGTCTCTGCTCTGAGCCCAACTCTGGACGGAGTTCCTTTACTGCAAACGGGATGTAACTTGTCATGTTCAAGTAAGCTGAAGAGGTAACCTCGTGCTTTTGTCCTGGGCGGATCAAATCAACATTTACATCTCAAAGTGACAGACAGGCTGAAATGCAAAAAGGGAGAAAATATTCTGAAAGTCATTCTGGGCCGAGGGGAGCTCTCTGTCTCTGCAAGAGAAGCAGAGACACGTTTCCCAGAGGCATTTCTAGACAGGTCAATCTATAGGAAGTTTCGATGAGACTGTTAACTTTCAAGCAACAAAAATAAGAATGAAGCAGCCAGTGATATTAAGGACATGTGAAGATGATGTTTTGTGGTTTGTAAAACATGAAGCCAAATGTAGGCGACACCAATGTCAGTCAAGTTACACGAGTGGTAACCAAAGTCACAGCTTGGAAGACATCAACTGTCCGTGTCTTTGGGATGTACTGAGTCAGCTACAAGTTATAGGAATGGGAGATGTGACATATGAGCACCTGCTTTTGGTGTTGACAGTGTGTAGTATATATGAAACAAGGACATGAGAAAAGCTGAACTCAGGCACACAATGCAAGGGAAAGAAGACTTGTCCTCTTGGACCAAAGAAAGCAAGAGAGATTCTAGAGTCTGAAATCAAGGAACCTCCTGTATCGGGCTGCTGGTGCAGAAGGTGAAGCAAGAGGAGTCTAAAGGGACTGTGGATGTTTATGGCACAACATGAGAATTTGAGACAAAACGTGAATTTGCAAGCACTTAAGAACACAATCTTAAAAAATAAAAAATAAAATAAAATAAAATAAAATATCCTTCAAGAGTGAAACTGCAACATTAGGATTCTTAATGGAGTTTGGAATTCCAAGCTGTGACAAGGACATTCTTTCTGTAATCATTTGACTGATTTTGAAGCGCTGATGGGAGGAAAGCACTGTGTGTTGCTCAGCAGTGGCTCTGTGAGCAGGGTAGATATCTCCATTGGTCAAATGCGAGGGGCTCCTGACCGGAAGAATGGTTACAAAGGATATGCAATTTACTTAAAGCATGGTAAATTAATGCCACATTTGCTTTTTTTTTTTATAATCAATTTTTGCATATAAATGTGTGTAACATACTTGGAACAAAAATTCAGAGGTAACCTACCATTTGTTTTTGTGCGCCACATATGGCAAATAAACCCAGAAATACTCTGTATCAATTGCATTTTATTTTACAATCAGCGTAATTACATCAAATAATGTAGATGTCTGATCCAGCCTCTTCTGTGGGAGAGGGCATGTGTGTGTGTATAATTGATTAAGCAATGGATGATTTTATGCATTTTTAAGGAACTAAGATCATTTAAATCTTCCTCAATATTTCACTTTGTGTCCAAAGCACATTCGAAAACACCTGTTCCCTACTGACAGGTGAGTCATTAGGGAAAACACAAGGGTGTTTCAGTCTACCCATGGTCACTTTTAAACACGGTGCACCATCACGGATGACGTGTATATTTGGATGGCAGTAATATGAACTGACTGTGCATGTGTAATAACTGACCTAGGGCACATCAAGTTTCTCCACTTGGTCAGAAAGGCTTATTACTTGACAGTTATAGTTTGTTTGCTTGGTTTTTTTCATTATTTTTTTTTAGGAGAGAGGACAAGAGGATGGAAAGGAAAATTCAATTGAAAGGAGTTGATCATTAATCAGCAGAACTTTTAAAATTATTTCTTCAGATATATAAACAGGATCAGATCAGCTAGGACAGAACAAAAAAAGAGACTTTGTGTAAGCGACTATACCCATTATTTTTTCCCCGAGCCAAACTATCTGCAATACAGAAGATGGAGCCTAAGGCAACAACACTGAGAGTCAAATTTCAGGCTCAGAAGTTTCAGGCTGGTTGATTCTGGGGATTTACTGTAGGCCCAGCTATGCAGTAGAAGTGATCGTGTTCAAGGCCACTTAAATGCGTTAAAGAATTTAGAAGGCGTAAGTAGTGAGAAAGTCTTATGCCAAGACGCTTGACTGAAATACAGAGCTGGAGAGAAACAGGCAACGTCTTGGAGTGATGAAGGTGCCTGCACATTTGGGATGTAAAGGATGTAAAGAAGCTGTTGTGGCATTGTAGGACTAAAACTAACATTAGCTAGAAATATTACAAATGAGAACCGGACAACAAAAGCTAATATATTACAGCAACTTCAGCACTAACAGGGAAGGAAGAAAAAAATTAAAAAAATTAAAAAAATCACGTGTTGGCTGAAAGTCAGAGTTAGCTACATGTTTTTCAACACAGTATCTCGGAAGAAATGGTCCTTTTCTTGCAATATGGACCTATTCATATTTCAAAATTACGGCCTCAGCTAGCCCGGAATACAGGCGATGCGCACATGCACACGTTCTTTAGATTTTAACACCTCATTATTAAAGGGAACGTGTTGTGGATTGCACAATCGAGAGGCTGTTTCGATTATACAGATTAATTGCTTTGTTGAGCAGAAAAATTTGTTTTATTTTCCACCAATCTTCTTATTATCGATGCCTTTAGTTTTGTAGGTAATATAAAAGTGTATGTGTACGCTAGAACTGTTCTTTGTAATACTTTCTTACAATATATTTTAGAATCAGGAATTCAGTTAATCTCAACAAATCCGTGAGGTGGGAAATACCATAATCTTTGTTTTGTAGATAAAAGCTAAGACACTTGGAAATCAGACAGCACCTGAAGAAGTCTGGATTAGAATTAGGAAGAGATCTGAGGTTTCCTGACTCTCCTCTGGGTACCTTAACAACAGGAGCCTCCTTGTTAGTATTTCTTACGGGTTTTGTAACTTTTTCATTGATTCCCTCCCCCCCCCGTAACTTGCATTTTTCTGTTCTTTTCTCCAAAGGTGAACCATCTGCATTCAAAGATAACAATAAGCATTATACATAAAATTACTCATACAGAGCAGGTTTGTACGCCTGTGATTAAGGAATATAGAGCGAAACACTGCGCCACACAGGGAAATTACCCCAAAGAGAAATTGCAAGTCATCCACCAGAGCTAAATGAATACCCAAAATGGCAATGAGGGAAAGCTAAAGGACATAATCCGCAAAATGCTGACTGTATGAATTATAGCCCTTAGCTAAGCCTGATTTGTGCAGCTAGCACTTACACAGCAAATAACCCAGGCTGGCAGTGACCTTGACAGCATTGCAACAGTAATACTTCCTCTAAAGGCTGAACAGTTCTCAACTTATTTCTCCTGCGCAGGGGTTACAAACAGGCTTGCATTCAGCAACGTGGACCAAAGCGATCCTCGGCATGTGCCTGTGAACAATACAAACAGCATACGGCTCTGCGGGCATGCTGAATGCCTGCCTTCCTTCTTTCTTCTGCCCTTGGTAGGATGGTTTTGGAGAGCACAAAGAGCACTCCTCTGGTGCACGCCTTCCCTTTCTTACCCTGCTCCACGCGGAGCTGGGCAGCCATGCAGCACAGAGGGGATCTGGTTCCAAGTCCATTGAGCAACCACAAGTATTTAGTGACCTTCTCAACCAATATGTCTGCCCCTTGGGAACTGCAGTTGATTTTCCTCATCTCCGTACACAAATACAATACTCTACACTATGTTACAGCTACATAGTTGAAGGTAAATTGGAAGTCACTACCCCACACCTCCTTTTTAAGTAAGTATCAGCAAAACCCTAATTCTTAGTCATTCGTGGAACAAACTGCCGGGGAGATTAAAGAGTTACAAAGAAATGCAATACCAAATTTTTCGGTTTGATGGTCTGTTCTGTCTTCACTTTGCTGCCAAGACCTGTGTTTGCAGTACTCTGCTTTTTGCTGACTACAGCTGATATTACTTCTGCGTAAAGCTGTGAGAAGAGTGCTGTTAACTCTCTGGAGTGGTGACGTAAATCCTGAAAAATCCACCAAGGGAATGGGTGGTGGCAGGACCGACATGGGTCGCTGCAAGGAGCACTGGGTCCTTTGAAGGCTTCGTCTTACGTGCAAGGCGTATGAGTCTTCCCACCCTTTGATGGAAAAGCTTGCTACATCCCTGTGGCTGGGCGACAAATGCATCTGTTACACTGCAAATGAACAGCCTGGGCTGATTTTAAGCATTTGCTCTGTTACAAGACAGATGTCACAGCCAGTACAAAAAAAAACCCAAACCCAATAAACCCAAACCCATGGACAATCGAAGACAAGGGGCAACAATTAAAGAAAGAGACAGGTCCTGAGGGAAACACGGATTGCACAAGCCCAGTGCAAACGTGGGCTTTGCTGTCTGCAGAGTCTTTCAGTTATTTCTGCGAAGGGAGAAAGAACAGCCTGTAATGGTTGGGATTTTTTTGTTTGGTTGTTTTTAAAAACATTTGCACTGTGCGCCTCAGTTTCCCTATCTATAAACAGGACCGAATGAGTTCAAGTGTTGTCTTGTGTGAGAGGTGGGGAAACTGGCAGTATTTACACCTTGTTGCCTACTTGGAGGCGAAAAGAACTTTCTACCTCATTTGCCCTTCAGAGGAGACAACAGGAGGCTTGAACT